TTTAACTGTTGGAAAGTGGAGGTCAGGAGTATGTAGAGTTTTGTTAGCCACGTATCATGGTACTTTTGTTATGTGTCGCACTAATTTTGATTGGGAGGTTTGAAGTTTTTGTAGATGGTTCTTTATAGCGATACCGTATATTCATGATGAGTATGTCCATATGGGTTTAAGTAAGTATGTATATGTATTCAGTTTCTGTTTTAATGTTGAATATTTAGTAAAAAAAGGGTAAAGTAGTTTAAGTCGTTTGTTAAGTGTCTTACGTTTCATTTTTACATACGGACCTGATGGCATCCTTCTAAGAGATTAATATTAGTTTTAAGACTATTAATCTTAGAATTTCGGATTTAAAAGTATGTAGTTTTTCTAATTGTTTGCTAAACCATAAATAAAAATAATAATTATGTAGTTTTCTTTGATAATTTTTAATAATGACAATGTAAGAACCATAAGGATGTTTCTTTGAATTTTACTTATATAACAAATATTTAGGGAACAAGGAAAGAAAAAGAAAGAAAATTCTTGAAGACCATAGCTCTGAAACGTTGATTATTAAACCGGATAATATAAAAAATAAAATATTTACACTAGAGGTAGAATTTTTTTTTTCTTTAAAAATAAAGAAATTTGTTAATTTCGTTTTCAGAGAATTTCATTATGAACATTAAACCTGTGCCAGTCCTACAATATTTTCCTTCGCTTCTGCTTAATATTATTACATTGTTATTATACTACTAAATATCTAACTTAAATTATTAGCTCATGTAATATATTGGGTTAACACTAATAAAAATAATTGTATAAAATAAAACATATTATTTATAAAATACTAAAACTTTTATTGTATATTTATTTACATAAGACACATTAGCATCTGATGACTTATTATAATTATTATGCTATATGTTAGTTTGTATTTTTAACTATGTAAATAGAGTATCTTGTATGTAAATAGAGTTTTTTTTTTTATTAAAAAAAATAACGTACTATAAAAAGTAGAAAAATATGCGTTGAAATATTTTCTCAGAGAAAAAAATAAATGAAATATCACTTTTATGACAGGTAATCAACTGATTGACATTTATTGATATTAGATAGGTTTGGATATATAAATAAAGCTAATGAAAAAACTAATCTATCAGAACTGGTTTTAAATCGAAGTCGGCTTTAAATTTTAGTTTAAATATATATGTTTTAATTGCAGGCATAGAGGTAGTATTTTAAAGAATTTAGGTAAACAAAAAATGAAAAGTAAAAAAAATGCTTTTATGATAAATAAATTAATTTTATTTAATAGTGAATATTTAAAAATTAAAATCCTATTGTATCCACGTAATGATGATAAATTTAATATTATTCTAATTTTAAGTATAAATAATATTCTCAGATAAAACCTTTTATTAATTAATAATTTAGAGTTTGAATAACTTACAGGTAGGTTACAGAAGTAGGCTCTCCGATTTCTATGAAACTTTTTCTGGTGACACTAGATTGACAAAAAAAAAAGAAATATATATATATATATATATATATATATATATATATATACACTAGATTGACAAAAAAAAAAGAAATATATATATATATATATTTCTTTTTTTTTTTGTCAATCTAGTGTCACCAGAAAAAGTTTCACATATATATATATTTATGAAACTTTTGATATATGTGAAACACACATATATATATATATATATATATATGTGTGTGTGTGTAAGACCCATGTCCAACGGCTCTTGTCAATGCCAAATAGGAGCCTAGGAAAAAATATTTTATAAAATTTCTATTTTTTTAATATTACTTTACTGTTTATATTAATTTTTTCATATTACTGTTTTCTGACTTTGCTCTGCATGGATTTATAGGTTGTTGTGTATTAATTGATTCGTTTTTTTTCGTAAAATAAAAAAATCTTATTGCTAATTGTATTAAACAAATTATAATCTATAATACATTACAAAAACCGTAAGATACTTCCAGTGAAGTATGAAGAGTAAATTTATGTCATGAAAAAAACGACTCAGATTCGTTTTTAGCGTTCGATTTAAACTCTTAAATACGAGTTTGTTTTGAAATAAAAAATAATATAAACTTTTGAACTTAATTTTATGGCAGTTTTTTTTCCATGCCGTTTACTAAAATATTCATAACTCCCTAGAATTTTCATCCAAATCAACGTTACTAGAATCGTTGGAAAGCTAAATTATAGCTCTTCAAAGCAATATAAATTACTTTTAGATTTTACACCTGTATTGGCAATAATGAAAGGCGCAGAGGGAAACCTAGAATTCGTTGGCTATAGGTTTTAGAAGAAGACTTTCGGACGTTGGGTGTCGGCAGATGTAGAAGGGCAGCCGAAGATAGGTCAGAGCGTATGAGGATCACTGAGCAGGCCAAGATCCTACAAGGTCCATAGCTCCGTTAGATAGATAGATTAGCTAGATGTATAGATGTAGCTAGCTAGTTAGATAGATAGATGTATAGATTAGCTTGATGTATAGATGTAGTTAGATAGATCACGGGCGGATCTACGGGGGGGGGACTTTCGGGCTGAAGCCCCCCCCCCCAAAATGGTAAAATATAACCACGTTTTATCGAAAAAAATATAAAAAAAGTATCGCTTAAAGTATTATTGTTCGTGTGATTAATATTAAAAGGGCTTTAGGAATCACTTAAACACCGTTTCATACATGTTGTTAGTTTCTTTCTTTTTTTCTAAAGTAATTATCGTTATTTTTATGAGAAAAAAAGCTTTCGGGCTGAAGCCCCCCCCAAAATTAAATCCTGGATCCGCTAGTGAGATAGATAGATGGATTAGCTAGATGTATAGATGTAGCTAGATAGATAGATATATAGATCTATAGATTAGCTAGGAGTATAGATGCAGTTAGATAGATAGATGGATTAGCTAGATGTATAGATGTAGCTAGATAGATAAACAGATAGATGCAGAAAAACTCTCTAAAGTTATTTATTTTTTATCTCAAAGTCTAATTTACTTATGGGGGTCTGTTTTCTGTTTGTGTACTTTACAGATTTCTGAATTCATGCTAATTTTCGTACGGATACGTGGCACCAGGCCCCAATTTAACTATATATATTTTTATGATTTTCGAATATAGACAATTTTTTTTACCTAGAAATCCTTGCAGATTAAAGTCAGAAAACAGTAATGTAAAAAAATAATAGCGCATTGACAACAACCCACGGACATGGGTCTAATATGTTTCGATCTAATATCACCAAAAAAAGTTTCATTGAAATCCTTGACCCTCATTATCCTTAAACATCCTTATTAGATTAAGCTTTTTCAAATTCTTAAATTTAGAAGATTCTGTTAGACTAAATTTGAAATTTATGTAGCTTTTGTTTCAATTGTAACAGACCAAATTAATCGCTTATTATTTTATCCAAGAGAGTGAAATAATAGTTTATAAGTTTCGAAGCCTGACTTTGACAACTTTGAACTTAAGAAACTTGAGATTTTTGATTGGTAATGTTCCTTCAGTAACCTGATTATTATAGTTATTATCAACATTTATAGTTAAACTTATACTACTTGATATAACACTTATGATAGAGTATAACTTCGCTTATCGGGGATAATATTACTAGGATATCACTTATAACGCGGAGTACCGGATAAGAGAAGTTACGATCAGCAAATTCTTGATATTGATTAATTAAAGTAATGTGATAACAAAAAATAAATAAACAAATATAATTACGCGCCTTATTCTACCAGAGATATCTAAGGCGCGTTTAAACATTTTACAAATTATAAAAAATACAAATATCTAAATGTTTGTTTCCCTATGCTAGTAAAGTTTGGCTTTGCGCTAATGTAGCTGTTAGCAAAGTTAGATAACTGAGTTCCCCAAGGTTTGGAAACTGCATAAACGCCGCTTAATTCGTAGAGTCAATAAAATAAAAAATATAGAAATTTAAAAATAATGAAAAATACATGAATTTATGTGAATCAATAATGAACTTAATTAATTTGTGTTTATATTATTTAATATGTTTAGAGATGGAGTGAAGTTGGCTATTAAAATTATAAGGGTGAAAAATAGTCAGGAGATATAGTCATTAATGATGTTTTTATTTATTTGTTTTTTTCATTTTTATACGTTTGGTCTTAACTTGTGTAATACCAGTAATGCGCGGTCATCGAGTGGGGTGGGGGGAGAAAGAATGGATTGGAGATTTTGATTGAATGAGTTTTGTAAATATTGTATAATATAAAAGCATTTGTGTATTTAAGTAGTCATTTAAATTAGTTTATTTTCTTTTATATAGATTTACTTTTATTATTATTATTTTGATTTATTTATTTTTATTTATTGTACTTAGAATTTGAATCAGCAACTCTTCTATCACCATTACTATTGTCCTTAGATGTAACAGATTGTAATATTTTTCTACAAAGTATTGTAAAAAAAATCTTTTGATTCCATTTTTTGAACCATATATTTTTTCATTTCCTATTCGTTACTGTACTTTGTCGTGTAACTTCATCTTTTGTGTTCCATTTTTTTTTTTAATTTTAAGAATAATCTCACTTATTCTTAACCCTGTTTTCAATTATTTTTTATTTTTACTAATTTTTTAATGAATTTTTACTTTCTATCTAGTTTTTTATTTATTTAAAAAATGTATATTTTTTTTTCTTCTCTTGTTATTTGTATTCCTCTATCTTTATCTAAATTTCCTGGTGCAATTTTTGCATTTTTTTTTTATTTAACCCTGAAGATGGTGTGGGTCGAAACGTCGGTGAACATAATTAATACTATTAATGACTGCATGTCCCGACTATTTTTCATCTTTATTATGTAATATAATTTCATATCAGTTTATTGTTAAAAAAATAAAATAAAAGTACGTTGAAATAAAAAAAAAGGACGTTTCGGATATGACGAATCCTGATAAACGGAGTTCTATTGAATTTCCTATTTTTTTTTTAAAAATTCGAAATGAACACTAGGAAATCGAATTTAAAATTATTGTACGTAGTCCTGGCTCCAAGCTGGATCGTAGTATCCTTCCTTTATATCTTGGTCGTATTTGACGTATGTACCGTTCGGTGCAAGTTTCATCTTCCAAGACATAAGGAAACCATTGTCCCAATCTCCGTCTTTAATTTTTTTTTCTAGGTCCATCTGAAAAAAAAAAGTATCGGAAATATATTAATACAATATACCACAATCAAGGGTATCGGTACTATAGCTCTATGTGTACATCCATACTATTTATATGCAAACTAAAATACTAAAAGAAAAATGAAATAATATTTTTTTATTTTTTTTTAAAACTTTTATTATGATATTTACAACTGTATTAGTATGAATACATCAAGTAAATTTGTACAGAGAAATATTATTACATGAAACACGCTTGTTGAGAAATTACCCACTGGTAGCACTCTAATAATTTGTCTACATGAGAAGATCACGAGGCCATCTTCTTTTCAGACGCCTCGGAGGGTTATCAATAATCGAAGAGGAAGCAAGGTTAGAAACAAGAGGATTCGGATGGTTATGAAGTTTATTATGGAAGGATAGGTATCTGGATTTGGCCAAATCGGAAACATATGGAACATTGAGGTCTTTATGGATTATTTTATTAGTGACAAAGTAAGGAGCATTGAGGATTTTACGAAGGATTTTGGATGATAAGGATTGGATGCGAGAGGAATTCGATGGTTTAGTGGAGCCCCATAGCTCAACTCCATAAGTCCAAATAGGTCTTATTATAGTCAAGTATATGAGTCTTTTGTAATTAAGGGGAAGTTTAGAGCGTTTGTCTAGTAAGTGTTGGAGTAGTCGGAAACGTCGAGCGGTTTCTTGTCGTTTCAGTCTGGTATGAGGATTCCAAGTTAGACGTTTGTCCAAATGAAGTCCAAGGTATCAGATTTGTTCAATAGGGATAAGTGGGGTATTATTAAAGGATACTGTGGGACATGAGATCATAGGTTTACGTCGAAGGGTAAAGGTGATTTGATGGGATTTATTAGAATTTATTTTAATCCTCCAGTTTTGACACCATTCTTCAAGGCTTGTGATGTGTGATTGAAGAGTTTGGGATGCAATGGTTGGGTCATTATTAACGGATAGGACACATGTATCATCGGCATACGTGGTAATAACAGTGTTAGGATGGGTTGGGATGTCAGCTGTATAAACTGTGTAAAGGATAGGACCAAGGATACTACCTTGAGGAACTCCGGCAAATTGAGAAAAGAGGGCTGAATAGGTATTATTGTGATTTACTTTGAAGTGCCTATCAGTAAGATAGGAACTGATGATAAGAAAATATGTAGGGGGAAGGAATTTACGGAGTTTGTAAAGCAATCCCGGATGCCAGACTCGATCAAAAGCCTGTTCAACGTCGAGAAAAACTCCAGTGCAATACATTCCGCGCTCCAATGCAGAGGAGACTATGTCTACCACTCGATGACATTGCTGGATAGTGGAATGGGATGTGCGGAATCCAAATTGGTGATCAGGGATTATGTGTTTAGAATCTAGGATGGGATACAGGCGTTTTAAGATGAGCTTCTCCAGGATTTTGCCCATGATGGGTAAAAGAGAGATAGGACGGTAAGAGGATGGGTATTCTGGTGGCTTTTTGGGTTTATGTATCATTTTGACTACAGATAGTTTCGAAGGGTCAGGAAAATATGTGGAACGGAGTACGGCGAAATAATATAAAAAGAGAAATAATTGTGGGTTGATGGTTGACTGTAGTGAATAATGAAAAGACGAATAGTTGGACTGATCAGTCAAAAATAAATAATAATATTTATTTAAACATTTTCTGACGTTTAGAACCGAAGTTCGAGCCTTAATTAGGGCTCAGAAAAGAACCAGAAAAGATTGGTATGAGAAACATGAACAATGTAGGTAAAAAAAAAAAAAAAAAAAAAACTTAAAGTAAAATAAAGTAGGTAGAATAATGACCATAACAAGAACTAAGAAATAAATAATAATAACGGTCACAAAGTGTGGACTAATGAAGTAAACATAATCAAAATAAGATTACATAAGTACTAAAATGGTAATCTTAGTGTAAAATGTAAAACAGAGAAAAGGAATATGAATTTATATGAGAAATAAATATAAATAGAAAAGTTGAGATATTGTAAACAGAATAGTTAAATAGAAAACTGAGATAGTGTGAAGTCTATCCTAATGTACTGACTACGTATAAGGGAATAAAGCGTTAAAATAAAGTAAAAAATAAATGAGCAAAATCCTCAATGATCCCTACTCTGTTACAAATAAAACCATCCATAATGATCTAAATGTTTCTTATGTTTCAGATCAGGCACAATCCAGATATTTATCCTTCCATAATAAACTTCAGAATCATTCCAACCCTCTCGTTTCTAACCTTCCTCTTCAATTCCCGATAACCCTCCGAGACGTCTGAAAAGAAGATGGCCCTGTGATAGAGATATTATTAGAGTGCTACCATTGGGTAGTTTCTCAACAAGTGTTTTCACGTCATTGAGTATGAGTAAATGAGTATTTCTTTCGTTGCTTCTCACAACTTTGTGAAGGCATAGATGTGCTACTTTCATATTTATTTTTCTAAAATTGACAAAGGTGATGTAATGAAGATTCTCTAGGACTTGGAGTTATACTGCAAAGGATTATGTCTAGTAATTTGAATTTGCACCATATTGCATCCAAATCGGTGCAACTATGGATAGAGATGTCATAGTGCTTAACTGCAAATTACCTGAAGAAGGATTATTTCTTTACTATCTAGCAATTGTTAATATTCAGTGTTGATTTAGCCGCTGATAAAATAATATATATATATATATATATATATATATATATATATATATATATATATATATATATATATATGAAACCGTTTGATGAGAGGAGGTACTGTACAAGGCCACCGGTTGTAAGTGGAGGTGAAGAGCCAATATTACGCTCAACCTCCAGGTTTTTCCCCTTAATTAGTTATTTAATTAAGAGTACCCACTTTATAGAGGCTGCTTTGCCCCAGGGTCGACCCACGGCTGATTTATATATGCAATAGAATTAAATTATATATTTCTACTTACCATATTATAGTCAGAATTTGAATCCTTTCCAGATATTTCTTCGTGGTCGTGTCCCTCCTTTGTCTTAGATCTGTAGTAACTTCCTTTCCTATCATAGTTGTTCCAAAACTTATTCCTCGACTTCTTTTCTCTTTTCTTGTAAACATCATGAAATCCCTAAAATCATAAAGAAAAAAATCATAAATATTACGACTAAATACGCATTTATTTTATAGACATATTTATTTATTTTCAGCCTGTAATCTATGATTTCAAATTATAAGGATAAAAAAAAAATAAAACCTTTTAAAATGTGATAAAAGATTAAGTATTGCTATGAATGACTCCTTCAGTAACCTCAGAAGACAACCTAAATTTCCAGGGGGCGGGGTGGTTGAATGGGCTAAAGCGTGTGCACAGTACCGCGAGTTGCCTGGCAACCGGATTACAGATTTGAAAAGATTTAAAAAGTACGAGTTCGCGTCCCGGTGCCGGAGGGGATTTCAAATTCCCCGCCCTCACACCCCGGCCCGGGAAAACCCCGTATAGCCTACAAGGCGAGGTAGGGAAGAAAAAAAAATCCATTTTTTTATCTTTGGCTTTTTTGTGTCTTTGTTCAGCCTGCTCCATTTTGACTATCTTGGGCTACTTCTTTCCTGTTATTGCATGCAACTGTATTACATGGTTTTATGCCTTCGAAGTGGTCTATTTCTTGCTATTGAGGTCTTCATTATTGGTAGACCACTGGACTGTAATGCCGGTTAAGAGAGAAGCGCTGGGACCTCGCCTTGTCCTCTATGTATGGGAAAGGGCTGGACTCGGAGCTCCATCGGTTGATTGTAAATATTGTTATTAAGTATGTTAGTTTTGTTTTCGTTTGTTTGTTTTTCTGTTTATTCATTTCTTATAATTTGTTATCATTAATATTTTTTTGTTTTCCCTTAAGAATCTCTGTCTTATTTTATTTCACTTCAAGTTATATTTCTTTGTTTTTATTACAGTTTTTACCTTTGTTATATAAACATTATCTTTTATATATATTTTGCTTTATTATTTTCAATAATGAACTATTGTGATCGAACAAAAAATTCAAAGACCTAACCCGCTCTCAAAATTTGAGGTTTTACGTTTCAGGATACTTACAATTCGAAAAATTAATAAAAAATTTTTGTCTGTCCTTCGCGCATTTTCTCTGAAACTACTGGACCGATTTTTTTTCTTCAAATTTGGATTTAAAACTAGAGGTCAACCGAGGATGATCTTCCTTCATCGACATCAACATTTCTATCGGTGTTTTCCTTTCAAGATGGCAACCGAAAAACCTGCGTTGCTATAGACTATAGCGCCTAAACAAATGTACCGATTTTACTGAAACTGCGCTAAAGTCTTATTCCAGATGCCCTTTAAATTCATTTATATAATGTACTTCAAGAAAAAGAAGCTAGAAAAAAATTTACGAGGGATGATAAAATTAGATTCCGAATAACTCTAAAAGTATACACTCGTTGTCCACATTGCATTTAAAAGTTTACGGAATTTCCTAAAAAACAAATAAAAAATATTTAACGAAATCGGACAGTTAGGAGCAGTCAGGAACAATTAAGAGTAGTCTCTAGATGTTTTTTATATGTTATACTGCAAAGGTTATATCCTTTGTTTTGGTTTTTGAATGCGTTTCTGAAGTAATGATATTGCTATACCATATTGCTAATGATAAAAAAAAAGTTCAGTCTAATAATTGGAATCACCTTTTATTTCTTTTTCTTTGTCACTAGGAAGGTAATCTTACTTCAGATGTATAATTGTTTGGAAATAATAAACCTTTGAGAAATAATTTACAGCGTTTTTTTATGTATTTAAATCTTTTTATTTTATTGTAAATATGGTATGAATAAGTCTTATGCTCTAATACTCCGTAGCCTTGAGTGTGGAAAAATGTATTATACCACAATAAAAATATTAAAAAAAAAAAAAATAAATGCTGGTAGAGGCTTCCTGATGGATTTCTCCGAGCTATATCCCCGCTCATCTTAACCGGGTAAGCAGTTCTTTATTGGTCTTTCTCCTCTATGCGTTAGTACTCCGATCCCAGATCACTCTGGTTATCGTGCGGAGGTAGTATGATAAGTGGATAAGGAACTAATTTATGGTTCGTAAGGATTCATTGGTCTTCTTTCATTCGTTGGTATACTGATTCCAGATAGCTCCTGTTATGTGGAGTATTGGTCTCTCATTTTTTTTTTTTTAATTCTTATTGGTAAGGTGCTGTTCAGCGAAGACGTTGAAACTATAAAACTAAATACGACAACGTTAATGAAAGTTGGTAAATAACTAGGACTCGAAATAAACGTGGATAAAACAAAATATATGGTTAGCTGCAAAAATGGCGATACTACTGGTGATATCGATATAGATAGTAATATGTTTGAACAGGTAGAGAAATTTAGGTATCTAGGTTCTATGATAACTAGAAAAAACGAAATTGAAGAAGAAATTAAGGTTAGGCTGAAGGCGGGAAATGCTTGTTATTTTTCTGTGACAAAACTACTTAGTCCGCGCCTCTTGTCCTGGAACTTAAAAATTAGAATCTATTAAACAATTATCTTGCCTACAGTTCTTTATGGATGCGAAACTTGGCCGCTTACATTAAGGTCTTAAGGTTTTTGAAAATAAAGTATTGCGTAGAATATTCGGACCGAAGAAGGATGAGTTAACCGGAGAGTTCAGACGGTTACACAACACCGAATTGCGTGAACTGTATCCGGGTAATATAATTGAGGTAATTTCATTGTTGCGAATCAAATGGGCTTGTAAAGTTGTTGGACTTAGTAACGAGAGAATTCCTAAAAGGTTAATATTTGCTGTACCGAATGGAAGGAATTGATAGACCGAAGCGAAGGTGGGAAGATTGCATTAATTGCCGATATGAAGGGACTGGGTTTGGACGGCGAACGGTGGAGGGAGGTGTGTAATAAGCGATTGGTGGTGTCGGCATAGAACCTTCGGGCTCGCTAAGCCTTTTTATTATTATTATTAAGGTGCTGATTAGTGTCCATGTCTCTTAGCTCTATATCAGAACTAATCTAGAGATGTTTCGGGATTTCAATAACTTAGAAAGAGGTAAGAAAGCTCTGTCTGATCTATTTTCGACCGTGTTATTGAGGTTAACCGAAGTATTTGAACCTTTTTATTCTCGAAAACGATGTCTTTTTGGTGCAGATCCTGTTATCGGTTAGAATTTCTGATTTATTATAAAATATTTTGCTTTATCACCTTTTACTTTTAGTCTGCTTTTTTTCTGGATCTTTTATCACATTCTTAGCGGGTCTGTCCTTGAAAGAGGACAAGTATATCATCTGCAAACTGAAGGATTTTATTATTCAATTCAAGTCATAATAAATATAGTAAGTACATGAGGAATAAAGTATTGAATGTACAATAAATAATTTTTACTCTTACCTGAAGACGGGCAATTTAATCCGAAATGATATTGTCTAATGCATTTGGAAAACATAGACCGAAATAATTAAACTATAATTAAATTCTTCATTTTTTTAATAAAATGATACAAATATGCGCAATATTTTTATCCCGGTTGGTTTGAAAAAAAAAAACTGTTTGTAAAGTACGTCTTATGTAAAGAAAAAGAGAGAAACAAGTAATTTTCATAAAAAAGTACTGCCCAATTATTTTGTGTTGCTACGTGCACAGCATATTTAAAAATCACATTGGACCATCTTTAGAATTTAAATATAAATATAGAGTAACGTGTCCATATATATCAGTATAGTAAACTTTTTTTTATTTATTTTTTTCCTTCTTTTTTCCTTTTTTAAATTTTATTTTTTATATTCAATTTTCTTTTTTTATTCATCCATTTTTCTTGTATTTTTTTTTTCTTTTTTTTCCTTCTTAACCTAATTCCTATTCTCTAATGAGATAACAAAACTTTAGATGGCGTCATTATAAAGTATTCCTATTGCAGAATAACGTCATATCTTTCAAGATAATTCAAGCTAAGCAAATAAGTTTCAACCTGTCCTTGTTAATCTCTTATCCAGCCCCTGATTTATATTAATTATTTTAATTATAATTTGTCTGTTCCTACGTTATTTGTCAGCTGATATACGAATTAATAACCATTACATTTTAAGATGTTATAAATTATTATTTTTCTTTTTTATAACTATTTTTTATTCTGATGATAATATTAACATTTATAACTGCATTTACTTGAGGTACTTCTTGCTACTGATCTTTGCTACATTTTCGCCTTCAGATTTCGTCTTTAAAATGAAAAACAAAAACAATAAAAAAAAACATGAAGATGGCCGTTGCAAGGATATTTTGGGGACGGTAGCTGTGTTTGAACGATAAATTTTGTATTTTTGTTATTTATTTATTCAGAATAGACAAGTTTCTAAATTCAGCGTTGAAGTCTTCCAGTGGCTCAGCGTTGAGTTTAGAAACTTGCCCAATATAAGGTTCTTTGCTTTTTCTCTTTCACTTTATGAACACGTCATTTATATAATAACGGATCAAAAACATGACTACTGACCTTTTTTAATTTCTTCTTTTTATTTTTCTTATCCTCTTCGCCCTTCTCTTCGTGTTTTCCTGAATCAGTCTCGTCGTGTCCTCCTTCTGCATATTTTTCTTCCTCGTGTTGCTGGTGTCTTCCGTCATTTCCTCCTTCGACATGACCTGAATGCACATGAAGATCTGATCCTGTAACTCCGGTCTCCATGTTCCCTGTCTGGTAATAATTGTTGGCGAGGCCTTGCTGGTTGTACATGTTGCCGTGATTCATTTGCTGCAAATTATGGTGATGATTGTGGTAGGGGATGTGGTGTTGGTGTTGGTTGTTGATGTTTGCGAGGTGCATTTGGGTTAGCATGGCTAAAAGAAAAAAAAAAAAAACATATTCAATTATAATCCAAAGTCTGATATTTATCTGTTTATATATTATGTGATATGATTCCGTATGAGCATACTGTGTGGATAACGATGTCATTGCTGGTAAAACAGAAAAAGGAAATTATAAAACTTTCTGAATAACATTTTTTCTCAATACCTGGTATTATCTCAGGGTTATATTATCCCCATGTCAATATATATATATAGAGGGTGTCTCAGTTTTTAATGACCGCGCTCTGGAGAGTGATTCTAGACAAAATTTCCAACAAAAAGTTTCATATGATGAATGGGCCGATTCCGAAAGGAAACGGAGCTAAGACCAATTTTGTGACTTTCTTAAGAATTTAATTTAGGGCAAGCTAATATTGAAAATTAGCCATTAAGCCCTATTAGAGAACTTCAATCAGAATTAAAACTACATTTTATTTAAAACTGCTTAATTTTACACTGATGTAATGAATTTAATCAGAATCGTCAGAGCCGTTTTCGAGAAAATCGTAAAAATGTGTTTAGTCTATGATATAAAGTGCTACTTCCGGTTAGCCATACTTCCGGTTTGACGAAAAAGTCGCTGTAACATCCCTAGTATATAAATAAAAACCTTAAATAATTTCACTTTCGTACGACTTTTTGTTTTTTAGCTAGATCGTTAACACACACACACACACAGACGATTTTGCGGGACTTGGTTAATTAGACTCAGGGGACATCAAAACATGTATTTCCGTTGAAAACTGAGGTTCGAAAATTTTCAATATCACAATACTTTCCATTACTATATATTTCATAAGGGCACAGGCGGATCTACGGGGGGAGGGGGAGCTTTCGGGCTGAAGTCTCCCCCAAAATGGTATAACCATATTTTATAGAAAAAATATTAAATAACTATCTCTTAAAGTATTATTGTTCGTTTGATTACATTTAATAGGACTACAAGAATCGCTTAAACACCATGTCATGTCATATAGATAGTTAGTTTCTTTCTCTTTTTTTTCCTCTCCCCCCAAAATTAAATTCTGGATCCGCTAGTGGTTAAGTTAAATCAAAAATTGCGACAATATCCAAAATTGTCAGCCATAAACCATCGACGATTATACGGATACTCTGCCTACTAAAATAAGAAAAAGTAAGATGTGATATTTTTTAGTGTAGAAATTTTGTTAAAACAATCTTCAAAATACTGGTTTTCAGCACATTGTTTTTACCAATGAATCAATTCATTATTGAACAATATTACCAACAAGAAATTATTTATCGTCAATTTAAGTCAATGAAGGAAAAAGAAAGATCTATTTTAGTATCTACTATAGCGTAAATCGATTTTAAAAATTAAGTAATCGACTGAGGTTAAAAACAATTACTTTTTGTATCTAAAATTTTCTAGGTGGAAATAATTGTCCTATTGAGATATTCGTTTGAGAAAACGATGTTTTGTTGTTTTTAAAATAATTTATTTGATTATTTGCAAAGGTTTGATTCGATAACTATCGGCACCTCCACTGACGAAATAAAGTAATTACTATTAACTAATTATAGTTCAATTAATTATATAACGGATCTTATGAAACGATCGCTGTTTTTAACAACTGTGTAAATAGGGTGATTGCTGCCATTAAACTGCTTGTTTACTTTCTTTTTCGTTTGAGGGCATTCGATTTTTTTAGATTTTATTTTTAATAATATTCTAGAGGTTTAAATCGAAATAATAATATATAAAATAAAATAAAGAAATATTACAAAAACTAAACTCTAAGTAAATCCATTTTAACCATAATTATAATAATAATAGGTACATCCTAGGTCACGAAAACATAAATAAATGTAGCTTTAAAATGATGTATTGTAGTATTTTTTTTCTCTCAGAAAATACGGGTACTCTTAGATAAGAGGCCATCAAATCACTTCTTTTTTTTTTTTATAAAACATGAGATAAATCTCAACTCTTTTCCTAATGAACCCTCAGTTAAATCAATCTAGACATAGTTCTCATCCATCTTTATATAGTTTTAACAATGACGAGCTGTATTTTTATTTTAAGTAATTTTTTGTTATTTTACTGCGAAGCAATTATTAATTACTTAAATTTAATATTTTTTTAGTTGCCGCCTACTGTTCAATAAAATGCAATACTTATTTAAAAGAACGCAAAATTCATTTTTTTTTTACTTATTCATGATACTTACAATTGTATTAATATAAAAATACATCTAGTAAATGTGTATACAGGGATAACCACATGAAAACGCTTGTTGAGAAACTACCCATTGGTAGCACTCTAATAATATATTTATATAAGTAGATCACGAGGTCATCTTCTTTTCAGACGCCTTGGAGGGTTATCAGGTATCGAATAGAAAGCAAGGTTAGAAACGAGAGGGTCGGGATGATTCTGAAGTTTATTATGGAAGGATAGGTATCTGGATTGGGCCAGCTCTGAAACATAAGAAACGTTAAGGTCATTATGGATGGTTTTATTTGTAACAGAGTAGGGAGCATTGAGGACTTTACAAAGGATTTTGGATTGTAAGGATTGGATACGAGAGGAATTCGATGGTTTAGTGGAGCTCCATATCTCAACTCCGTAAGTCCAAATAGGCCTTATTATAGTCATGTATATGAGTCTTTTGTAATTAATTAGAAGTTTAGAGAGTTTTTCTAGTAAGTGCTGAAGTAATCGGAAACCTCGAGCGGTTTTTGTCGTTTCAGTCTAGTATGATATTTTTAAATTAAAAGTTTACGAAATTTCCTAAAGAAAATCGTTAAAATCGGTCATTCATGATATTTACAATTGTATTAATATAAAAATACATCTAGTAAATGTGTATACAGGGATAACCACATGAAAACGCTTGTTGAGAAATTAACCATTTTTAGCACTCTAATAATATATTTATATAAGTAGATCACGAGGTCATCTTCTTTTCAGACGCCTTGGAGGGTTATCAGGTATCGAATAGAAAGCAAGGTTAGAAACTACTTCGTTCGGATGGTTCTGAAGTATGTTATTGAAGGATAGGTATGTGGATTCGATAGTTAGACGATGGTTTGATTTTAACTTGCCCCCTCCTAATGGTAATCCATTGTATCTGTTTAATCTCGAGTGGAACAGTTTACTGTATCTGTTTAATGAAAGGAACTGTTAAAATTAAACAGATTGCTACTAAACATTCCAACCCTAGTTGCAATATTTTCAAAATGGATTAATCAGAAAAATAGTTAGAGGAACATCAATGCAGAGAGAAACACTTTATTTTCATAAAATATAAAGGATTGCTGCCCAATTATATTGGGTTGCTAAATACACAGCATACTCTTCTATCCTTAAGACAATACATGAACTTATATATAAATATACACAAGTATTAGTTAATATTAGTAAAATATATATATATACATTTTTATTATTATATTTATTTTTATTATTTTTTTTTTTCCTTTTTCCTTCTTTTCATTGTTCATGCTTTTTTTTTTATTTAACATTAAGTTTCCCTTTCTCTCACTTCTCTCTCATTATCTCTATTGTTTTCAATTATTCACTAAATAAATAAAACAATGGGCATTCAGTTAACTCTTAAGTTATCTTCAGTTAAAGAATTCCTCACTTAGTGTAAGGAAATTTTTTTTTAAAACTTTGAACAGTTGTCAAGAGCTAACACAATATTGAAAATTACATTTTAAATTGAGTTTTAAGGGTTAGATTTTAAGATAAATTTAAGTAAGACGTGAGTCCCATCACCGACATAAATCTGACAATGCTTTTAGCAGTAAAAGGGTTGTAAAGACAGAAAATTTACGAGAACAAAAGAAGAAATATAAAAGAGAGGATATGGAAAAAAAAATTAAATATAATAATACGCCTGATCTAATGGGTTATACACATATTACTGATATATTTAAAACACTCTATATGGAGAGCGCCATATTTCTGTTATTCAAGAAAAAGCCTAAAAATAAGCTTTTATTCGCTCTATGAATAGAAGATTAAAGTTTCTTAAAAATAATAAGAACGCATTAGTCCGACATGGTGTGAACGAAACCGGATCCCAACTTGGCCATTTTCCTCCAAAGTATATTGAACTTGGGAAGGCTCAATATTTAATGTCTCAAATAGTTAATGGAATGGATGTAATGCTATACATTAATGACCTATAATAAATTTAATATTAAATTACTAAAAATCTAAAAAAAAAATATATTTTTAAGTTCATCTTAAAAAAAAAAAATAAAGAAAATAATATTATTTCTTTTCTTTTAATTGAGAACAAGTAGTGATGAGAATTTGAAATCAACTAGAAAAATATAAATGACCTGCTATATTAATAAAATATATTACTAACTATAAATAAAATTACTTGACAGAAAAGATCTTAAGTTTAATGAGTTTGTACTATTTGTACAAAGTATTGGTACTGGTATTTGTTTAAGAAACTAGTCCGACAAATGATCATCATTTTCTCTACCTCTGACTGCTACTTAGAGGTTGCCGCCACGTACTGACCAGAATGTAAGGGTCAAGATAAATTTCTCAGGGCTGCTGAATAAATAAATATTAGCTGAACCAGATGGAAATCGAACCTACAACATTTAGGACCAAGCACCATGAGGCACTCGCTCCAACTAGTCTGTTTTGTTTTTTTGTTTTTTTACGAAAGCCAATTTTTCTGAACTCGCTAAGTTTTATACTATTTAAAATAAATTTACACCTCTTCAGTGTAAATATATTTTTATTTAAAAATTCCAGCTTTATCCAGTCATGTCTATCTTGGATTATTTCTTTCCACTCGCATACAGCTCTTTTGCATCTTTGTTGGTTCAATCTATCCATCTGTTGTTTGGACTCCTAGGAGTTCTCTTACCTATTATTGAGGCATTCATTGTTGTTTAGAGACTTCCTGATGCTCCGATGCCCCGTCATTCTTCACCTGCTTTCCTTCATATCATGCGAGTGACCAGTTTCTACAAGCAGTTCTTTTTCCTACATG